GCCACAGGTGTCTGAAAAAACTTACGCCCCTTTTTTCATCACCAATTCCTGTTTTTTTTTCCCCCACTATTGTCTGTTATCAATTTAGAAGACATTGATGCTGCAGTTGTCATGCAAGAGTAGAGGGGTGGTGAACGAGGTTTTTGCGCGAGGACTTGCAAATTAAGAACCTCGGTGACCCTCAGCAGTCTGCTATAGCCTAACAAGCCGGTGGTTTCTCTAGCACGCTCCAAACCAACAAAAGATCGTAACAATATTATTTTGCATTATTTTTCCTGAACTGCACGAACAGTAACTAGTACATAGATTTCTTTCATTTCCATTCCGTATAAAAAATATACACTGAAAATAATAACAGTCGTATATGTAATGAAGGAGAGTTTTAATAACTTTCTTTTTAAGTTGAAATTCGCCGAAAACCTTCAACATGTGACTGTAATGACATCCTTATATAAAAAAAAGAAATAGGTAGTCTGATTTTATCTTTTACATACCAGCATAAATTAAGCGTGTGGATATCTACAAATCTCGGAACGCGAACCCTACCTATTATAGAAACAACACCAGTTTCAACATTATTACACTAAGGATGCCGGGCAGCAACATTTAACTCCGTCGACTCCTTCAACCATAACCCTCTACCGGGGTCGCAGAGAGGATTTTGTTCATAAGATATTTACTGATATTTCCCCGACTATTCCTCTGCACTTGGCGTTCTGTGACGTCATCACCCAACTGAGAAGTCAGCCTTTGATATGGCCGATAGTTGTAGCAGAGCCTTCCATGTGTAACTCACTAGTTTGGGTATTTCTTAGTGATCGATAGATGAACCCCACCTCTCCATTCCACCCCCCCCCCGGGGGGGGGGGGGGGAGAGAGAGAGAGAGAGAGAGAGAAGTAGACACTCCAACTAGTCATTATTGACCACAGTGTCACAATTTCATGCACTGGCGATCATTGTTATTTGTTGAAAAGGTAAATATCATTATAAGGTCACGGGATGACAGATCTTTTCCTATTTCATAAAAAAAATTTTGTGTCCAAAACCGCAGTTCACGCATCAGCTATAGATAAAAAAACATAAGAGGTTATCCTTTAGGGATTAAATAAACAATTCACAGTCCAATACTCTTTAAGGAATGAACAAGGTTAATAAATAAGGTTTTTAGGATTGAATTAACAACTCACAATGCGATTTTCGGACGTACAAGCAACTAGCAAGAGTGCAATAAAAGTGTCAAAATTGCATCATGATAAACGATTATGATACTAACATTAAAACGTAGTTAAAAAGTTAAGACGAATTAATCATGACTTAGAAATCAAAAATGGACAATTCACATCACAACTGACCACACTCCTAAAAATGAAATGTACCTATTGTGATTGTCCAGCTGAAGATTTAAAAACAATTCTTTCTTGCTGGCATTATAAACACCGGGCAAACCTTAAAACCACGTCTTTAATGTGCCTTGTTCTTCCGCTATGAATTTTTTCAATTTGTAGTTGTCTATAATTAATACTCCTTGTTCTTCAATTATAAATTATTTTCCTGTCTGTTTGGTTTTACACACTGTTAATGTACCTATGAAGTTTTATTTCTGTATTATCATTATTATTGTTATATATCAAACGTAGTATAGAGAACCAAAAATGTACCAATTGTTTTATTATGATGTCTTGCGCATAAAATATCATCATCATCATTCTTATTATCACTGTCTATTGTGAGCAAGGATAAGTCAGTAGAAATCCATTTCAAGGCAATATTAGACCAGTTTTATGACGGGAAAGAAGGAACTTGTCTTGTAGACAGGGGCGGATCCAGGATTATTTGAAGGGGGTCCATTTTTTTAAAGAATGACAGGCCTCGGATGCAAAGCCGACCCTTGCCCACTTGGTGTGGGGTTCGGTGTTTTGGAGGGCAAAGGGTGCCATCTGGTGCAGTTAAGAGCTATGTTTCAGCTCTTCAGAATTCTAATATCAAGAGGGAAATATTGGGGTGATTGTTTTTCCAGAAACCGAGGGGGGGGGGGGGGGCGGGGGGGAGGGTCANGTCTTGTAGACAGGGGCGGATCCAGGATTATTTGAAGGGGGTCCATTTTTTTAAAGAATGACAGGCCTCGGATGCAAAGCCGACCCTTGCCCACTTGGTGTGGGGTTCGGTGTTTTGGAGGGCAAAGGGTGCCATCTGGTGCAGTTAAGAGCTATGTTTCAGCTCTTCAGAATTCTAATATCAAGAGGGAAATATTGGGGTGATTGTTTTTTCCAGAAACCGAGGGGGGGGGGGGGGGGGGGCAGGGGGGGTCAGGACCCTCTGACCCCCCCCCCCCCAAATCCGCCACTGGTAGACCAATATTTATTCTGATATGGTGCACTACCACTGATCCTAATTTATCCCGAACTGAAAAAGACCAACTTTTAAGTTGAAAAGTTTAGATTAACCTTCAGTGTGAAGGTTTAAAGAGAACCTAACCCGAGAACTTAAGAGAAGAAAACTTCCCTTGATCAAAATCACAGAAATGAATTCAAGTTAAAGTCAACGCCGGGCCTCGCCAGAGACAGTAGAACTTTGCCATTTCAAAAAGGACGTAAGAAGCATTTCTACACAATTAAAAGACTATGGTTCGTATGCCTATCTTTGTCCCCAGACTTATCCAAAGGTCGGGGTCCGGTGTAACAGAAATCAAGGTCTCTGAATTTCGTGACCAGTAATATTCTGCGGTCGTTGACAATGTCCACTACTGAAGTGGACGTAGAACTCTCACTCCACAGCAGACACTGATGTATTTCCCCTTATATCGCCTCTGTATCACACAGGGAAGACGTGATGACATGTGTGGAATGAGAAGCAAAAAACGAAGGATTTAGACTTAAAAGTAATGTAGCAAGAAGCATAAGGACCCCTTCTCCCTAATGGTCGTCTGAAACCCCCTTAATTAATAGCAGTATGAATAAGTTCCCTTTAAAGGGTTGTATAATTGACTTACCTGAGGCTAAAGACTGCCGTTCATTTAACGAGATCAACAGAAATATACAAAGCGTTAGTATCACACGCGACGTCAGCGTCATGGTAACGTTACTGTCCTGAACTGGACGTCACGGCGTAACGTTGAACTGTTTGTTTATACTAAATCCACTCCTCACGTCGGCAGGGTCTTCTTTATATGGCGGACTTGGTTAGACTGGGAAGGAAGCTACATATGCAGAGCCACACGCAAACCGAGTGTAGTAATTGTCGACTTTTGCACACTGACTGTCTTGATAAGATCTGGTATGCAGGGTCGTCGTCGTGGTAGGGGGGGCGAAAGGACACTTACTTATTTCCACACAGACCGAATGTGGTTTATCCCTATGGTTGGCGTTGAGAATATGAGTGTTTTACGTGTTGGTATCAAAACGAAATTTTATAGAAAAAAATCCTGTTTTTGAAAAGGACTTTTATCACGTGACTTGAAAACGTTGTTGCATGCTGCTGCTTCATATGTCGTCTGCACCTGTCATTTGAGAAAAAAAAAAAAACGAGATTTAAGACAACATAAAACACACAACGGTGTAGTTAAACAACGCTTGACATTACACGTGTATGTGCACGCGCGCGCAAGCGTGTGTTTATTCGCACCCGTGTCACATCTCCAGACGTTTTCAAACTGACAGACGTATAATATTTTTAATAATAATTTCAAACGTCATTTGCCATCTCTCCATTATTTATTTACTTTTTATAAAGAACCACAGTTATACACTGTACATCCATATAGTACGTTGTTAAAACAATAATAAAGCTGGGATCCATAATTTGCACCTTGGCATGGGATGAGGCAAAGAAGCAAAGTGGAATAATGAAGCAAAAGCATAATTTGACAAGTTTGTTTTTTAATATAAATTTGTACCAAATAGGTAGTAAAATTCAAAATGGAAAGATTTACAAGTTTAGTTACTAATAGAAATATTTTAACTAACGGTAAAATGCTACTTTTTGGACATCTTTGCAAGGTAATGATAACAAAATTTATACAATTTTAATAATTTTAATAGAAACTTTGCACTAAATTATTCAAGGTCTGTTCTGTCAGTACTTGGTTTGTTTTTTCCCTGTTCACTGTTCCACTAGCATTCTACCCTTCAGCTACCGTTTATCAACTCTCCCCAGTTTCTATCTCCACATGATTCTTCAGAAACTGGAGTTATTACATATTTTAATTACCAGGTAAGCAGTCCTTGGCCCCGTATCTCGAAAGCTTCGCTATGTTGCGCACGTGCGCAAGCGTCTCGATCCCATAACTCTTCCATAATCGTCCCATATAATACACTGTAGATAGCCTCTTTTTGATATAGCGATTCGCAATACGCGATGCTTTCGAGATACGGGACCCTGCATTACGCATATTACAATGAGATATACCAGATATCATTTCCATATTCTCATTACACTTGGCATTGTTAGCCACCTGTAATTCAGGGTACGAGTAAGATCGCTATCAGATAAAATGGGAAACATAAATTATTGCAAGTTAATCTTATATTGTCGAAGGTACCTATTGTTGTTGAGAGACAATTTTATTGTCCAAGGCCTTACATTTATCTGTATCGAAACGCTTTGTGTTCAGAGACAAGTTAAGTCAAATATCCCGGCTATTACTTAATACAGTGCCCTGAACAGNTCCTGGTTGCAAAATGCGTTGCCGTTGCAAAATGCGTTTTCACGATTTTCTTTGGTTACAAAATGCGTTGCAGTTGCAAAATGCGTTCAGTTGCAAAATGCGGCTCTACTTAGTAGGGCCGCATTTTGCAACTGAACGTATTTTGCAACCGGTTGCAAAATGCGGTCGGTTGCAAAATGCGGCTCTACAAGGGGTGAGACAAGCAGGCACAAAGACAAGATGACCACAAGATAGGCAGACAGCCAGACAGTCAGACAGACAAACGGACAGACAATCAGACGGACAGATGGACGGACAGACAATCGGACAGACAGACAGACAGACAGACAGACCTACCTTGTGCCCATACTCCAGACGGGGGACTCGCCAGGGCAGCGCTGGTTGCCAAGACGAGGCAGTCCCCAGTTTCCGTGAGGCCACACCACTGAAATATTATCAACATTGAATTATGCTTCATGTTCAATTATCTTTAATTTATCTTCCACTGACAATACAGTATATATATTTCATTAATAAAGATTATAGTCTAGCAGACAATCGATGTTACTAGTATAAGTATACATTTAAAAGTTCTAATAATTAGCAATACAATGTTTTTAACAAAATCTTTCCGCCTATGAGGTACGGTTTTTGCCCCCTCTGCCAGTGTTTGCCCCCTCAAACTGAGTCCGACAGTTAATGCTAGTTTTTTGTTCTTTTTTAATCATGGTTAGGCATTTCATCTCATTCTATATTATAATTTCTGCTAGATTTCAATCATAATTATTCTTAAAAAATACTGCACCTCCAACCATTTAAATGTGAGGTGATAGATGGCAAAAAACAACTAAAAACTTACATTCTTCCCGTGTCTTGCCAGCATTATTCAGCTTTTTAATAAGAAGACGAAGAAGCAGTCTTTTTTCTTTGTCCTTATTGGTCTTTTCGCTGTCGTCTTCAGGCGATTCACTCTTAGAATTGTGCTCTTTGCCAGATGTTTCTGCCAGTTCTAACAAGACATCTGACTCTGACTTTTTGCTCACGTTAGCCGAAGCGCCATCCGTTGTTTCAGCTGGAGTAGGCACACTAGTGACATCTATCGTTGAGGCAGTTTCCATAGTTACTGTCGTCTGGTCACTGGCTGTGGCGGCCATCCTTGTGGAAGGTAACTTGGTAGAAGTTGGAGGAAGATTTGTTGAAGATGTCGAAGGGACAGTCGTGGTTGACGTTGCTTCTTCAGTCACATCAGCTTCGCTGCTCTTGCTACTTTCGGCATATTTGTTGGCGTGCGGCGAAACTTCTGTCGGTTTATCTATGCTTTTAGCGTTCGGTGCCAGTGGTGCGAGCAGACCAGCCTTCCGCCATTTTCTGACCAGCTCCATTATGGAGATGACCATGTCAAAGTCATCGGGAGGGCGTGCAGTGGATGTGAATGGAGGTGTTACTCTGGTGGTGGCGGTGGGATACGAGGTGGTTGTTGTGGACGTTGTTGTTGCTGGTGGAGCTGCTGATGACATTGTTGACGAGGTCTTTGGCTTTGTTGTTGCTGTTGTTGCTGATGATGTCGCCGTTGATGTTGTCGTGGTAGTTGTTGTGGTAGTTGTTGTAACAGGCGGTCTGGTAGTTGTTGAAGTGGTCCGCATGGGAGTTTCCGTCGTGGCTGAATTTGAATCAGCGGTTGTTGTGGCCGCTTTTTGGTGACGGTATTTGTCCTTGTCACGGTCTGTTTGTGCCTTAAGTTTATGTAACATATCTTCGTCGGTCTCTTTATTTTCGGTTTTAGCATCAGTATTGCCAACCCCCCTTGAAAGTGCTGAAATCAGATGTTGAGATAGTTTTCACAATGGCCTATAGAGGGCGGGAGTGTGTATACGGATATAAAAGTGTGTTGAAAAAAGATACCGTAGGCATAGTAGGCATAGTAGGCATAGTAGGGCCTAATGTTTGTGTGCGATTTAAATCAGATTAGCATTTAATTTTTAAAAAATGCAAAATTAACCAAAACCATTTAAATATGGAAAACTTTCGAGTGATTGGTTTGTGATGCATTGTTTCCATACGAATCTTCTCCCGTCTTCCCCTCTTCCCATTCAGTTATTATTATTATTATTATTATTATTATTATTATTATTATAAACAAGCCTACCTTGTAATTCTTCTCCCGTCTTTACCTCTTCCCATTCAGTTATTATTATTATTATTATTATTATTATTATTATTATTATTATAAACAAGTCTACCTTGTAACTCTTCTCCTGCCTGTACCTCCTCCAGTTCAGCTATTAACTTCCTCAGGAGAGCCTCCTCGCTGTCGTTTTCTAACTGGGTAAGATCTGGGAAAGAATTAAAAACACGTAACTGGGGAAGTTAACACTTTTTATCAGATCTAGAGAGACAAAGAGAGAACGTGAGAGAAGAAAAAAGAGAGAGAATCAATAAAATACTGGTCGAGAAAGTGACAGAGTGTGATAGGGGGAGAAAAGAGAGACAGAGATAACATATTTAAATTGTTAAAATACAAACCTTAAAAAGACAACAGACTGTCAGAAGCTATCATTTTAAATGAGATATCTTCGCCAAGGTAGTACAACTCTCAATATTATTGATTAATTAAATTTTTGATTAATAAATAGATCACCATCAAAATCTATAATCGATTCTAAGTTAGCCTATTTAGACCTATCATGAAAACGTAATCCACATCTGTTTATGAGTTTGGCTGTAAACAAACAAACAAACAAACAAACAAACAAACAAAGGCAAACGCATCACCCCGTGGCGGTGGTGACAGAGCATATCACTTGAAAACAAGATAACACAAATCTGACAACTTTTTATTTACAAAAAACTCATTTAGGTCTGTAAATTGACAATTTTCAAAATGACAGCCGTCTCTGAGAAAAAATATAAGAGACCTGGGTAATTACGGTACAGTGTATCTAATCATGACCAACTCTGTAGTAATAGACATTTTCAAGTTTAAATTTGAAATAAATTTCAGCACAGCGTAACAGACTAGAACTGCGAAGAGCTACGAAAATTTAATAAAATAATATCTGGTGAAGAGATGTCCCTCTGTGGCCCTGGCACAGGATGGGCACCTGTGTAGGAACGCCCGCAGTCCTGTTATCATGTGTATCCATCACATTAGCTCTGCCACACTGTGACCCCCCGCTGGGAGTGCTAGTGGGGAAGATCTCGTGACCAATGAGAATTTTGTCACCAAAAACAACCGACGAAAGAACAAATATTGCCTTTTTGTCAGTGATTATATTTATGTCCAATCCTAACGACGGTTATCGTGTGAAGTAAGAGCGACAAATGATAATTGTAAGAGACACACATCAATATACTACACAGGAAGACCCCACGGAGAATATAGACGTTAATATATTGTTATACATCCGGGGACGTGAGATTAGACATCCATAACTAGCTGTATAGCATAATTTATATTTTAAAGGCATGTACACTGAATATTTACTTATATCATTTACGCTGCTTTGTTTGGTATTTCCCTCTAAAAATGTGCCAGACCTGATAAAGATTATTATTATTATTATTATTATTATTATTTCTGATAACTCTATTTGCTGTGAAGACTGACCTTTAAAAAACTACCAGCGGATGCCATTTCGTTACATTGCGCATGATTCCAAAAACATCTCCCTCACTTATTGGAAGTATCATGAGTTGTGAACTTCTGTTTATTTTTATTTCAAGGAGAGGTGTGATCTAGATATGGCAGTTGGGAGTGTCTGTTGCCGCACAAGACGCATGTCACAAACGAAATCAACGCGAGCACCTTTCCTGTAAACCGGGCCAAATTGTTAAGAATCATGAATTTTTAGTGAAAACTTTGATAAATGAAAAATAGGCCGTCGGTGGTCAGAAAAGCGTGTGATAAGGGTCAAAGGCCATTTCAAATGGATATTTCGTGTGCATAAAAACATTTGAAAGTCTGGAGTGGTGATAAGATTGATCTTATCGCACGTATTTAGCATCAACATTAGTATTAACATGATAAGAGGTTATAATGACTACAAAAGACACCTACGAATCTTCACTTTTCGTCGGAAAGTTCGTATATTTAAATACTTTTGCCCTTAATTTACGCAAAATTTTGCACTAAATTGACCAGATTCTTTGTCTGTCAACAGTATACACAGTTTGATGTGTAGGAGGTAGGCGAGCTATGGGACAACAGATTGTATCTTTGAATACAGGGATCCAATCTCCATTTTCAAATTTATGGAAATCAGTCAAAATTTTAAACGCATTGATTCGATAGAGACAAAACAGGTAGATCTTTGTCCTTTTAAAGTATTTCCGTTCAATCTACATTAACAAAGGAATATTTTATAAGCGCCCCCTTCCCACCCATGGGGCACTCTACGAACATGGGCATTTTGCTGCATGTTAATACCGGATATAGGCTACTGATACTTTTGTTGAGTCTGAGTCTCTTTCTCTCTCTCTCTCTCTCTCTCTCTCTCTCTGTGCGAGCGTGCGCACGTGTGTGTGGATGTGTGTCCCGTCTTGTAAAAGAGAAAAGAGACCTTCTATACTATCAATATTTGTGTTAAAACACTTGGTTGACATAGACACAAATATTCGTCTCCCTAGTTACTTCCACCTGTCTACTTCCGGTATATTGTGTGACACGACAACATTCAGGTATGGGACTAATGCATTCACCTGTAGCCTACAAAGTGATGCCACAGGAAGGAAGGGTGGGCTGCTTAGTCTGTAATAGTGAGCCTCCTTTTGCCCTCTGTTGACCCTACTTGAGGATTGGCAGAGAAGCTAGATCAATGTTTACTGAGAGTCGAACTTTTTCAGCCAAAAGGACGATTCTTTCAACACGCAGTCTCCACCCCTACCCCACCCCCCGCCCACTTCCTCACGACTGGCCTGTCCTGGTAATAAAATATATGGTGAGGAGTATATTTTCCAATAATCACCAGCATTATAATTTTTTTACTTCTTACAGATCTATAAGGCGATGTGATGTGAATCTTCAGAGCATAGGGGAGACCGGGGCTAGTTGGCCCCCGGGTTAAGTTGCCCCCCCCCCCCACCCCC